ATAAAACACAGTATTATGCTAAAAAGCAAGTTTAAAAAAGTGGGTCTTAAGTTGTTTCCTAAAAGTGTCTATACAATCCAGAGATCGAATGGTGCAAGGTAGCTCATTCCAGAGGCGAGGCGCCACAGCTTTAAAAGATCTGTCTCGCACAAAAACATCAAAATTAGCACAGAACCAGTACATATAACATTTTAGACACATTCTAGACAGTTTATCAGCTAAAAAAAGTTAATTTTGGKGTAAGTTACTCTAAGTTGTTTTCTCAGACAATTGGGTGTGGAATAACTACAGTTGTTAAAGCGCTCTGCACGACGAGGAGAGGAGAGGAGAGGAGAGGAGAGGAAGAGATTATAATCCCATGACACGATGTAACTTTTCTACAGCGGGAGGGGGATATTTTGAGGATTAATTCTCACTATACGTGTTTAAAATGCTAGAATTTCTTCATTATATTTCAAACTCCTGCTCAGTTGTCTCTGCACTAACAACCCTGTTGACACAGGTGCGATGACGTATTGACGATATGACGGTAGAGAGTAAATTTCTACCGTAGGCCAACTTCATACTGTTTCTACCGTCTACCGCATATACCGCATATACCGCGCAGTCCTAGGTTGACATATGTACAGGATAGTACCATTTCTTCTCTTTCTGGATTCTTTGGGTTTACATATGAGCACAAAAAGTAAGTAAATATGTGTTTAGTAGATTATTTCTTTGTTGTAACAATGCTTCTTAATAAATTTTACACTGTAGGAAAGCCTATTAATTTTCTGTTTAAATGGTGCCACATTTGTAAGGAACATGCATTTGTGGGATGAGCAGTAGAGCTGAGTCTGTGRGTTGYACACATGAAAAATGTCCCAAATCGTAAATTGTACACATAATCTGTAGTTACATTTGTGTATGAAAAGCGGACTTCCTGTAAACTCTTCTGCTGCTCCCATTCCTCCTGTGCTGATGTGTTATTTAGCGACACTCATTGTATAAGAGAGGGACTGCAGGATGWGTGTTGCATTTCAAGGTAAAAACAGAGACCCTGCCACGATGGCAGACCAACTCAGCTGCTCTTTGACCAGTGTGTGACCTGTTCATTTTAAAGTCTATGTCTTAAAAATGTSTTAAATGTCAGAACGCTTGTAAATTGCATCAGCCAACTCTATCAAAACATGTCACTGCTTTTATTACCCTCATAGTCCATGGTGCAGCAGCTGTCAGAGACTGAAGAGAAAAAGGACGCAGCACACCATTAGAACCTGTAAAACGTTGATGCTGGGATGTCTGTTACAATAAAGTGAAAACTCATGAGGTAGAGGCAGCAGGGCACACAATGAAAGAGAAATCAGAAACAGAACTGAATGGATTTTGTAGAGAGCCTGTGATTCACAAGGATGGTGGAAATATAACAACACCTGCTTCCCTCTCTGTGTGCTACAATCGCACCTTCAGATCGAGTCTTAAACTGGAAAATTTRTAGTCTGTTGTCTCCCAACTGGACCTGAAATGGCCGATATGCTGGTAGGATGATTAAAAAAAAGATTTAGGTGGGACCACTTGGCATTATAAATCATTAGTCCTTTCATGTATTTTTTTATTTAAATCACTGTAGCATATTGCTTGTCTGTTGCATATTCTATCCATGGAATTACAGAATAACATGGTAACTGAAAGATAATGAAATATTAAAAATGGACTCTGCCTAATCCTAGTTTTTGTGGTTGTTCCTTTCCCATGTCAAACATTTTATTTCTTTATTTACATGGCATTATAATATGCTTATACACACACACACACGCACGCGCGCGCGCGCGCGCGCACACACACACACACACATTAGGGCTGTGAAATTAATCGAGTTAACTCTGATTAATTTTAGTGCTACATGGGCATAGATTAAATCAATCAGATACAACCACTTTACTGCTGAATATGTAGGTTTGTATATTGCAACGCACTCAGTGCATGCCAGGTCATGTTTGTAAATGAGAAGTGGTTCTCAAACACTTTACATGGATAAATAAAAGTTAAATTAATAAAATAAAATAACTCTATGTGTAACACATTATGTACAGTTTTATTTTCTTTTTGTCTTCTTATGGCTTATTTTATTTTATTTATTTATGTTTTGCTGACAACTGTGACCTTAGTATCTATCTTTCATTCCTCGTAGTTCTCATTTGGAATGAAAATCCTTGAATTATTGATTTAACCTCATTATTCTGCACAAAATTTAACTGACTCAAATATGTTTGGAGCATTTTTTAGGTCCTGTTTTATATTCAAAAAATCATGTCTAAGATCAATTTTGTTTTCTAAATAAAAACA